CATTTTATCTGCTTAGTTTGATATGGATTCTAAATATTCCAGTCATTTCTCTTCCTTGAATATGCTAAGCAAGCCCATGGGCTTCGTAATGAATCAGGCTTCAACGGCAAGATTGGCAGGAGAGGAAGTGTGTTATGTGATAGCAAATAAAGTGTGAAGCCCAGTCACTCCTCTTCATTGTTAATAATACCCACATAGTTGAATCCATATTTTATTCTCGGCTCTCTAGTAGTAGTTGTGATTAATATATGTATATATGTGTGTGTGTGTGTGTGTGTGTGTGTGTGTGTGTGTTATACTCCAGTCAATCATGGTGTTCCTGTTTTTTACACAAGAAACTGAGTCTCAGAAAGGTTTGCCCGGGCTTAAACGGCTACTCAGTATCTCCAGCTGTTATCATACTTTGAGGATTTAGGCTTGATTTTTATTTTATTAACTGTTTAGTTTTAGAACTTTATCCCTTTAAAGACATTATCTGTACCTATAATTTCTTAAGAGCAACTCACTGCTTTCTACTTTGTATAATACTGTTTAAGTACACCTTAAAATCTTTCCATCTGTAAGTGCCTCCAAAATCTCTGCATGAGTATAGAACTATCTTCTGTGACTTAGCATGAAGTTAGTAAGTGATTGTGAATGAATGGATGATGCAGATGAAGCTTACAAGTTTGGCTGAAAGCTGCCAAACCTCCCCATGTGGACAAGTACAGACCAGGGAGGTCTCTACTAGCAAGCCATCAGTGTGTCTATACAAGCAGAATTAACTATCTCTTCTTATCACCTACATAGAAGATACATTTTAAAAAATGACTTTTCATGCCGAATTGTAAAGAAAAATTGCATGCTGAATGGAGAAAATCTAGAAAATACAGAAAAATATAAATAAGAAAACAAAAGTCACTCCAAATTCCAGAAAGAAATACTGTTTTCCCAGTCATTGTTTTAAAAGATATTTATCTATACAAACACAATTTTCATAGCTATAATTATGTATGTATAGTTTTGTAGTCTGATTTTTCACTTTTTATTATATCCCTTAAAATCTTTTTACAAAGATGTTTGTCAGTGGCCTCATACTTTTCCGTCACATCGAAGGACCATAATTTATTATTAGATATTGAGGATTTGTAATTTTTTGCTATTATAAATAATATGATGAACATCTTTATAAATCTTTCTGAGTATGACTTTCAATGTACCATCTGTGCCTTGGAGTCCCTTGATTGGTGACACACACCTCTACTAACTGACATTTGGCACTTGGAACTGAAGCTGTGTAGCTAGAACTTGTCAAGAAGACAAATAGGATAGCAGTGACCTGTCTCATGTTCATAAAATGGACTGGATACAACTATAATTTTGCAGCCTATTTGTTTGGTTAGAAGCTTGATGCCTCATTTATTCCACATACAATGTATTCCAAAAGAACGAAGGTGACCTCGGAGAGAGCCAGACATTTAGAATCCAATTAATCAAGCTTCAGGGTAGTTTGGTACCCAACACCAACCAGAAAAACATGATCTGCCAGGTTCTTGTTACTAAGAATTTAGGAAGGATGTGGATTAGGTTTAGCTTATAGGTGCTTACTTATAAATAACAGAGGAGATCAATCTTTAAAACTAATGTTGATTTTGGGAGTTGAAGGCTTTGGTAAAGAGAAAAAAGCAATAACATATTCTAAAATTTAGTGAGCTTTATCAAAGACTGCCAAAAAGAAGAAACCTTTAGCTAAGCTTGAATGCCACATCACCACAGGACTGGAATGCTTAAATCATAGTCTTAGAATTGTGATGTGTCTCTGCTTTCAGGACAACTGAAATATATAACATGTCTATTCATCAAGTTCTTTAATTGGAGGTCTCACTTATTTTGTCAGAATATTGCAGAGTCAGTAACAGTTAAAATCCACATTAAAAAAACCTGAGTTGGTTTCTAGGTACTTAAGCTACAAGCATGAATAATACATAGTATTCATCTCTAATAGGCTAAGAGATAAAGCTTTATTTCTTTGATCTAGAATTTATTTAATCGAGATTCAAGGTCCAAATTTTTGGTGTTTAATATGTTTTAGTTTTGTTCTTTACTTCATGATGATAATTTTATCACTAGCTCTTAACATTTATTGTATTAAATTGCTATATTAATATTAATATCAGAGTGTGAAAATTCAACTGGTAAATGGTATGCAAATTAGCCTAATACAAACTTTAATGGATTAGCGCACTCAAAAAATTCTTTGGAACAAAGGTAACTGAAGTGATAATAAAAGACCAACTAATCATCATTTAAAAGGAAGATTGCTATAAGTAAAGTAATATAATACTTTAAAGCAAGCAAGACTAATTTTAATCAAACAATATGAATGTAATAGCTGGCATAACCCATTGATTATACTATGGGCTGTAAACAGGATACACACACACACACACACACACACACACACACACACACACACACACATATATATATATATTTAATCCCAGTTTTGCAGTTTGATTTGCATCCACCAAAAAGGTATACTGAAGTTCTGACTCCTGGTACTTATGAATGAGACCTTATTTAAAAAAATTTTTTTTTTGGTCCAATGTGGTAGCTGATGCCTGAAATCCCAGCACTTTGGGAAGCAGAGGTGAGAAGATTGCCTGAATCCAGGGATTTGAGACCAGCCTGAGCAACTTGGAGAGACCTTGTCTCTACGATAAATAAAAAATTAGTCAGGTGTTGTGGCACATACCTGTGTGTCCAGCTACTTAGAAGGCTGAGGTGGAAGGGTTACCTGAGCTCAGTAGATTGAGGCTGTGTGTGGTGGACATGTGTATGCCACTGCCTTCAAGCCTGGGCAACAGAGTAAGACTCCGACTCAAACAACAACAACATCAACAACAAAATAGGGTTTTTGCAGATATAATCAAGTTAAGATGAGGTCATTAAGTGGGCCTAATCTGACAAAATTAGCATCCTTATCAGACAGTGGAAATGTGGGTAGACACAGAAGGAAGATAATAACATAACCATGTGATGATGGAAACAGAAACTGCAATGATGCATCTATAAGCCAAGGAGTGCCAAGGATTGCTGGCAAACACCCAAAGTTGGAAGAGGCAAAGAAGGATTCTCTTCTATAGGTTTCCGAGGAAATAGGGCCCTGCCAACAACTTGATCTCATATTTCTAGCCTCCAGAACTATGAGACAATAAATTCTTCATTTTAGCCACCCAGTTTGTGGGACTTTGTTATGGCCACCCCAGATTTCACTATGTTCTGCCAAATTCCATTTTCCTCTCCCCATAATTAAGTCTGGGACAAATCACACAGATTTCTGTTTTTAAAAGTTTGTCCAGTTAAGTATCCAATCTCATATCTGATTCCCATCTCATCTCCTTCTTTCCCTCCAGTGGCAGTGCATGCTTTTTCTCTTCTCTGTGCTTCTTCATGCTGAGCCAGAGGAGGCATCAAGTTTTGCATTTTTTTCCTTGCACAGAGGGAGAAAGCACTGTATCCATTTTCTCATCAGTCAGGCTGCCCCATGCCCTTCTCCCTATGAGAGACGGACAGGCCACTCCTGTAAGCACCCTGTCTTCAGCACTTTCCAGGCAGGAAGTGGTCTCATTTCATGTAAGAAAGAACTGCCCCAGCATAAATCTGCGCCATCCTTATAAACCTCCTTACCAGTAGCAGCTCTAAGATTTCACAGCATCCAGTCAGTGAGGGCAGCACCATATCCTTATTGTAGGTAACCTCACATCCTACAGGTGATTCTCTTGGGTCTTTGGTTGCTTGGTTTCAGTGGAGAGTTTCAGCATCCTCTCTCTTTTCATGAAGGCAAGGAAAAGGACTCAGGGGAAGAGTCGGACTGCCATTCTGAACATTGCATCCATGTGCCTGCAGATTCCCATAGCTCTCTTCCCTTCCTCCCTTGGATTTGTTTTATGTCCTGGAAAGTTGTGGGGTTGTCAAGAGAGCTGAGTTGAGCAGAGTACTGAAGAAAGTATCTTGATTCAGTTGTTGTGGCTTTTTTTTAGGATGTAGGAGTATTTAATGCCTCTTTGCCATTAGTTGGTGTCTTGAGTGTGCTGAAGGGCAGGATGCTTACAAGAGTGGGCTGCACCACTCTTATAATGAGAAGGATGTGGGGTGACATGACTGGGAAAAAGATGGGTTGGTGACTCCTGGGAAAAGAAAGACTCCCACTCAACTTCTGTGAACATCAAAAAAATATGTTTCCTGTTTTCAGTTTTTTTTTCCCTTCTCTGTTCTTCCACTTTGCTATTACAAGATGTTTTTACATTTTGCCAACATCCTGTGATTCATGAGATGGAGAAGGAGATGCATTTAATGTATAAGGTCTAGTAAGGGTGCTGTCAGGTGGCTATGTCTCATAGCCTCCTTCCACAAAGAGGGAATCACAGTGAGTTTTAATGGAAGGGAGTGTGCTTCCACTCACCTGCTTGGAGGTTGGCTGGCTATGGTTTTGAGATCAGTTACCAAGTCAGGGTTAGCTATTTGATGACTCCATCTCTAAACTAGGTGTACTCCAAAAGTAATCCCTGATAATCATCAGCAGTACCACTTAGGAAGTTGTTAGAAACACATTCTCAGGCCCCACCCCAGGCCTGCTGAATCAGAAACTGGGGGTGGGTCGCAGGCATCCGTATTAACACGCCTTCTAGGTAGCTCTGATGTGTTCTAAAATTTGAAACTACTGTCCCAAAGACACCCTCTCTCCTCCAATTCAAAATGACACCCTAGTCTCTCTAATGGATGTCTATTTTGTATAGACTAATAAAAAAGTATGACTTCCTTTAAAAATTGTTTCTTCAAAATTCTCTGAAAAATTATCTATCACACACTTCAGCTTAAAATCTTTAGCTGAGACAAAGATAATTTCTTTTCTCTTTCTTTAGAAAAAGGAATTCCAAAAAGTTTATTCTTAACTATTTTAAACAAGGTAATATCCTCTTGAGTCTAGTTATCCCTCAAGCAATGTTAATTGCCATGGGATATCTCCTTGTATAAGATGAGAATTAAGGATGGGACTCACCCTTTTCTGTTTTATTTTCTCCACAGCAATTATCACCATCAAGCATACTACATATTTTACCTGCTTATTTTATGTTCTGAATATCTACCCCCACATGAATGTCCACTTCAGGAAGGCGAGTGCTTTTGTCTGTTTTAGTCCCTGCTAATTTCTCAGACCTGTGGTTAGTACTTGACATCCTACAGACACTCCGAAATTATTTCTTGAATGAATACATGAAGGTTGGGTTTCAAGAATGTGTACTATAGGTTCTATAGATTTCGGTGTATTAATTCACTGAAAAAAAAATTATGGTTTTTGTTCATATTTCTCATTGTGAAAATGCTTGCTATCACAGGTTTCAAAAGGTCCTCAGATGTCCCATTTTTTGTGCAACGTGAACAGGAATGTTTACTAGACTTATGTGAAAGTTATTATGATTCAGAGTGTCGTGAGTTGGAACTAGACAGAGGACGCCAAAACAGAAGAGTCAAGGGAGAATAATGATGTGCAACTAATACAAAAAAATTTCTGTCAATAACTCTGGACATGCTAGTATGCTGTTTGTACAAGAATGCTCTTTAGTAGGAATTACTTTTGGATGGTAAATCTGTTTATCAGTAATTGTGCTAGGCCAAACACTTCCCAGAATGTAGTATTTCCACCTTCCAGTTCGCACATTTTACAGCTCCCACTTCACAGATGTTTACTGTTTTCTTACTTGTTGATGATCCTATTTTGACACAGTAGAGTTGGTTTCCACCCTTGAAACACTGAGGGGGTAACAGGCAGACACATTTGGAAATGGAGGCTGCAAAGAGAGAGAGAGAGATACTGTGACCTGCCACGGCGCTTTAGGGTTTGGTTTCATTTAGCTCATCCTCAGGGTGGCGAGTCCTTGGTGGCAACGAATGAGAAAGCTGAAACAAAGGCAATAATTCTAAAGACTCAATTTGGTTGAATGGAGGGACCTGGATACAAAGAACAGAATGAATTAGAGTAAGCCAGTAGGGTTCAGGAGTTGGGCTATCTCTGATACCTCCCCCTGTCTTACCACCCACATCCAATCAGGATTTGAACTCTCTGTGTCATCACCCTCTCCTGCCCTGCCACATCTAATCAGGATTTGAGCTGTGTTTGGCACCGCCTTCTCAATTCACTGCCCACATTCATCAACAATCCTGTCAATCCATTTCTATAATGTCTTCAGTTTGTCATTTCTGTGTGCGTGTGTGTGTGTGTGTGTGTGTGTGTGTGTGTGTGTGTGTGTGTGTGTGTTTTAATAATCACTGGCACTTCCTAAGTACATTTTTAATTATCATTTGTTGAGCATGTACTGTGAAATCACACAATATACCAAGAGTTTTACATGCTTTATTTCATTGAATCCTCACAACAAATATATGAACTACGCTATAATACTAATTCCACAAAGTAGGAAACTGAACTCAGGGAGGTTAAGCAATTTGACCACGGTCACACAATTAGCAAATGGCAAAAGCAAGTTTGAAACAATATATGACTCACAGGCCTTAGCTCTTTAACATACTCTGTACCACATTTGTTTATTTCTTTCTAGAATGTTACTGAGTTACACCTGGGGATCTGTATTTTTAATAGGCAGTCAAATTGGGAGATTCTCCTATGAAACTTGGTTCTGGAACCACCCAATTACTTCATAATTTATATAAAACTGGTGTTCATGAAATAGCTTTAATACAATCATTTAGGGGAAAAGTTACCAAAGCTGGGTATATTCAATAAATTTTGAGTAAAGATATATGGGTTCATTTATTATATGGGTATGCTTTAGTCAAAATTTTCCAATTTGGCTTCAACTTCCCTTTCAACATTATCTTTTCTGCTTTCTCCATTCCAAGTAGGTTAACTTCCTTTCTGTTTCCCATATAAGACCCCCAAAGGTGTCCTATTTTTGTCCTTTTTCCTGTGTCATTCCCTTTTTATTTGCCAGAGCACTTTCCTGCCTTTTCCCACATGTTCAGTTTCTACTAGTCTTGCCTCCTTCATTAAGTGTTTCATAGCGACTTACCCCTACTCTGATCTTTTCTCTAACCAAACTTTAATGGTGTAAATTTGTCAGTATCCTATCTGACATTTTTATACTTTCTTGTCCATTAACTTTTCATATGTGTTTTCCCCAAAGCAAGTATAAATGCTTTGGGAGCAGTAACTGTGGTTCATCCATTTCTAAGTGCTACTCAACTCTCAACAAGGTCTTCAGTTAATTCTACTAGATCCATTGATTTCAAATTCTGAATTTTGGGTGCAGGTATAATTAAACAAAAGGAAATGTATTTGATTGGTCTATAATAATTCATGTTGCAAAAATACCTAAGTATCAGCAATGATGTCATGAATAAGTAATGTCTTTTAGGCAGATATCAGTTCTTTCCTATGTCTCAATTGATGGGAAAAAAATAGGAAAAGGAGTTAGGGAGATATTCACATGTACCATATGCATTGGCATCTTGCCCTTGGTCAGAAACATTTTGTGAAAAAGCATGCATTTCCTTTCTATGCTCTCATCAACTAGCTAGAGAAGATTGTGTTCTTGTCCATTGTTGCAAGGGACAGGGTTTCCTTAAGGAGAGGGAATTGTTCCACCTCTGGCGAGGAAATCCATTCCCTAGGATTTTGGAAGGACACAGTCATTATTCTTTTACGACAGTTATAACTGAAAAGCTCTTTAAAGGCCCTTCCTACCACCTCCACTAATTCGTCCTTCAACACTAAATTCTCACTCTTCCACGCTTATGGAAATCCTCCCAGACCAGAAGCTATTATCTCTCTTACAGTTCTTATCATGTCCTTTCTTGCATTAAAGTGATTCATGGAATTACTGTCTAATGTTACTCCTCTAACTACTGTGAACAGTTTGAGGGATAAAAAGGGTCCTTCGTCTTAAAACCCTCATCCTGCCTTGTACAGTGACTTCCACGTGTTGGATGCTAAATGAATGTGAAAAGGATGTTTGCTGAATAAATTGTTCCTTCTTGCTGGTTGATGGTGGGTATTATTTTTGAAATTCAGACAAAATACTTAATATCCATAAGATAGGCTCCCTGGGGAGCCCATTCATGTTCTAACTTTTGAAAAGTGAACTTCATGTTATTTTAAACTTTTTTCTTATTTTATTTTAGAGAAGGAAAAGAGTAGCAAAGAGTACAATGTAATCAACAACACAAAAATTTAATCAAGCTGAAGTTCAGTTCAATTCAAAATTACTAATATTCCAATTTGCCATGAGTGAGTTGGGTATAAAATACATTTTCAACTTTCTCTTTCATCATAATGCTATAGTGTGTACACTGATGCTGTTCTATATTGCTGCTCCAAACAGAATTCTCTGTGATGTTGACTTTTGCTCATCAATCAAAGAAGTCTGACAGAGGCAGCTTATATCATTAGGGAAAATAAAAATGCCGTGAGTTTTCTGATTGTGTGCAGGACCCAAAATATTTTAAATTGCTCAGATAAATCTCCTGTTAAGAAATGTTCAAGTGTTATTTTTATCTTATTTTATTTTTTAGAGACAGGGTTTCATTCACTATGTTGTCCAGTCTTGAGCTCCTGGCCTCAAGTGATCCTCCCACCTCAGCCTCTCAAAAAGTGCTGGGATTATAGGCATGAGCCACCACACCTGGCCCCTTAAGGCATTCTGATAATTTGAGCAATATTGGTTATATATCAAGACTTTTAGTATTTTTTTTAGACTAACTTAGACTTCTAAAGACTGTGGGGATTTAGATGCATGCACAGCAAAGGGGTAATAGATATTTTGATGAAATTGCGAGCTGAGAATTAGTTTTTACTCAGGAAGATTTGAAAACAATAATTTGTGGAAAAATAGCAAAAACTGAACTTCTTTGAAATAGAAGAGTTTTATGAAGACCATTTCTCCTGATAAATAAGGAAGGATGGAAGCAAACACTAAACACATCCCCAAAGACCGACCTATGTATTGTAGTATAGTCAGGAATCATTTCTTGTCCTCCTTGCCATCCAAATTCCTTTTATTTTCTGTATGTATTTTTGACAATAATGTTCTTTCAGTACATTTCTCAGAAAAAATGTATATATTTAAGTAAAAAATAATGTTACATAATACTTTCAGCTCTTTTCTACCTCAAATTATTGTTCCTGAGGTAGATGTCAGTTGGACAATAGTGTTGGTCAAGCATCAAAAAAATGAATAGTGGAGTTTTTATCTATAAGATAATTTAATATTGATTAGAATTGGGCAATGAGCACATCAGGCCCTGGTTTCTAATTCTTATGTGGAATTCCTTGTACAGATATGGCATGCAGGTCAGAAGCCCTAAATATTGACTTCTGAGTTGTCACCTCACCATCAGAGAGATGCCAGCTGTGTCTACCCTCATGGTTCAATCTTGATAATCAGATTTAAGCAGATCAAGAAGAACCTGAATTTGAGTAATAAGATTTCTCCCCTTTTCAGTACTGAGCTGAAGAAAACTGTACCAAAATGGAGCCAAGGGGAACAGTATGGCTTTTGTCTTTCTTTTTGCAGAAGTACAGTGGGGTTTTTTTGTTTGTTTGTTTTTGTTTTTGTTGGAGTCTCACTGTGTCGCCCACACTGGAGTGTAGTGGCCGCTCCCGGCCACCGCAGCCTCGACCTGCTGGGCTCCGGCGATCCTTCCGCCTCAGCCTTCAGAGTAGCCGGAATTACAGGCATGCGCTACCGTGCCCAGCTGATTTTTTAATTTATTGTAGAGATAGGTCTCGCCAAGTTGCCCAGGCGGGTCTCGAACCCACGGGCTCAGGCAATCCACTCA